AAGTTTTTGGAACAGCTGCATCTACCATGTTTAGATACTCTGGAGGAGCAAATAAGCTATTTGACCACAATAAAGCTCATTTCTACCTTCATTAGTTAAGGGCTGAATAACACCCTGCAGCACAGGATTCTGTATATCTTCCAAAGCTGGTTATATTTCTAATGTACCACATGCCCACATAGAAAAGAAAACAAGTTATTAATTTAAAACATCACACATGTATAAAACCTCCGTTTTTCTCTCTTTTCCACCATGAAAGTTGCCCTAGATTTTTTGTCCTTCCTACCTGTAAATTAATACATGTCAGCCAACATGGCACAGCCAGGCAGCTCATTAAGTTGCAATGCAGAAGTCAGGATGAAAAGATTAACTCTTAGATACAATGCCTTAGTAACAATAAAGGTAGAAGATAAACATATCAAGACAGACATCTATTTCCTCCTCCCTCTTCCTCACTCCTAGCCTCTTATTTTAAGTCTGAGTTGCAGCTACTATGAGAGTTGGTGAAAATATTTAAAACAAGAGTTCCAACAACATGTCAATGGCTCTCATTTCTACTTGCTCCTCATTAGTACTACTGTCAAATAACAGCCAGTGTTTGACCAAATTCAGCTCATGGAATATGCTGGCTGGTGCCAAACCAGTGCAGTTGGATGGAAACACTTTAAAGAGGTGGACCATCATCACAGATTTATTTTTACATATCGTGCCTGCTGAACTGTCACATAACTGAACACACAAGCAATGTTTTCTGCTACCTCCAGGTGGTTAGGAGGCTCCAGGCCCAGCCTGACAGAAAATGATTTGGCTTTGGTAATACTCACAATCATCACATTATGCAGGCATGAAGTAATCAGCCTAAAGAAAGCTAACTAGTATAGGATGTGGCAGCACAGATTCTCAAAAGAAACACACCAGGTCTTCAAACCAGTCAAATATATTCCCTATCACTGAGGTTTTTATTGACCTCCACCCATGAAATAATTTTCTTAAGATATAAAAATTTCCTCATATATCACCACTTTTTTCTTAAATTAACAAATAACACACAAAACCTCTAACAAAGAAACAACAACAAAAAAAATTCACTCCCTCCCACATTCACCTAATCATCGATATGAAATATATACAGGAAAAGGAACAGAAAATGCATGCTGAGGAATGTACACTGTTCCACCTCCTGTGGTCACTTCTAGTGATGATAGCTTCAAATTATTTTCTTGGAGAAGAAAAGGACACTGGGAGAGATCCCCATGAGTTTATCAAATAATGAATTCAAATACAATAGCAGGGAGGAAAATATTTTTAAATGATCAGAAAAATAACACAATTTTCATAAGGAACCAAGTCTGGTAACACACAACTTCAAAGCATTGATGGAGTCAATGCTGGTTTTACTTGACTGCAGACACAGAAAACAACATATTAAGACTGCAGCTTTAGCAAAAGCAGAAGTCTTTCTTTCTTACACAACTATAACATCATTTTGCTTCCTCCTTCCCTGAGCCCTAGCATTAAGAAACTTTCTTGCTCCACAGCAAGTTGTAACACTTACCTGAAAAAAATCTTTTTCTGGCTAAGTCAGCCCAGATGGCAAAGCCAGTTAGCAGGGCAGCAAGGAGGGTAAGAGCCAGAGGGCAGGACTGCTCCTTCTACTTAGATTGCCATCTTCAGCTGCTTTTTTTCACGCCCACCTGAGCTAATCTAATGACAAAGTGGGAAAAGCTTGCTCCTTGTTTCCTCTGTTCTTCTCCCTTCTCTAACTGACCCCCTAGTTTTCTCTCATTTCTTCTTTATTTCCCATTTAGTTTCCCCACAGAAGGTGTTCTTCCAATGCAGTAATTCAGATAATTGTCAAGTCTCCTTAAGAGCCAAACACAGTAACTTTCAGTTTAAAGCACCTATTTTTGGCAATTAGAATACCCTTCAAATAGTATTGGAAGGATATGTTCTTTAGAAATCTTTACTGATCCTAAAGCAATCTTGAGAAATAGGAACATATGAAACATAGTAGCAGAAAATCCCCCACACATATGGAAAACAGTAACATACTTTTTCACTCATTATTGAACATGCTGTTGGTAAAAATCAGTCTTGCACTTATCTGCTGCAATATGCACCGTTAACTTAAGAATTCTGAGAAAGAACTGTTTGTTAGATTCTTAAAACACTTCTCTATCCTTAAGTAATCACAACCTTGAAGGCTTAATTTATAGAAAAAGTCAACACAAACTCTCTTACATGATGTTGTGCTTTCATTCTTTAACACTGGATTACTAAAGAATTGTTAATTTGGTAACTCACAAGGATGAAGATGTAAAGACAATGCCTTTCAGCATATTACAGGTTATGATTACTAGAAACATTAGATTAAAAAGACCAAAGTCAGCTAAATCTAGATGTATAAGACAGGATATTTACATGAGGAAAACAAAATGATTACTTAAATGTTTCAATTTACACCTCTTAAAATTTGTAAGAGAATGTGAAAGTGAAACAGAGAAAAAGAAGTTTAAAATCAAGCAGATTGCCTATGTTATTATATTATGAAGGATAAACAAATTGGAATGATGAACAGAAACATCTTTTAGGACAAATTTTAGACCTAATTTCTGGGGAAACTATCTGTTTATGTATTTCTTATGCTTTCTGGTACTGCTGTTTCAAAACAATCATGTCAATACTTAGGTAAGACATTACTGTTTGAAAACTTTTCAACATGAACTGAAAAATCTCCAGAAATCTCTCGGATTTTTTTTTTTATTTTGACGTAAATTCTGTTAGATCCATAAGAACATGCCTACCATGCATATAATACATTGGGAGCAAAAGTGGATCATTTATTTTAAAAGTGGGTCATTCATTTTAAAATGGGGGACATTTTGAAGTTCATTACAAATATTCAGACTGCAAAAAGGAGAACATTTTTTATTGTGAAGATGGTGAAGCACTGGAAAAAAATGTCCAATAAGGTGGTAGGTGCCTCATCCTTGGAAATTTTCAAGATCAGGTTGATTGGGGCTCAGAGCAACCTGATGGAGTTGAAGATGTCTCTGCTAATTGAAGGGGATTGGACTAGAGGATCTTTATATTTCATACTCAAACTATTCTATTATTCTATGATCACAAAAGCTATTAATATAATGAAATTGTTGATTTGTGATAAAATGTCAAGGGTGGAAATACTGGCATCACTCAGAAACAATACCTATTCTGGTCTGCCCAAGAGTAAATTATTTGAAAGACACCTATTTTTTTCAGTATTTTCAAAGAAAAATTGTGTAGAAGTAGTCCCGTCTCTTGTAAAAAATGGCTACGTAGTCAGTGTCAAACAAAGGACTAAAAAAAGAACAATAACTGTAATATGAAGGATGAAGGAATAAACACAAGGAAGAAAGTATAGTAAAGTACAGAAGAGAAGAACTCAAGATGACAATCAAGTATTTTTTTAATGACAGAAACACGTAGAGAACAGAGCAAGAACCACTTAATTTTATTTTCTTCTTTGTGAAAGAAAAGGAAGCTATAGAATTCCCTATAAACAATAGGAATATCAATCTAATCTTTTTCTTCTACTCATTTCTTAGTAAGAGACATTTTTATATATGAATAAAAATATATATAAATAAATATATATAAATAAAAATACCAGCAGGGCAGGTATTGAGGTTGTATATAATGATATAATTCTCGCAGATTTCACTTAGAATAGCCAAATAATTCAAGTCTGAAAGCTATGTCTTAAAGGCAAGGTAAATTGCTCCAAAATTTTAGAATTTGTCAATTCAAACCTTTCTACTGTATTAGGCTACTAAGGAAATTTTACAAGCAATTTTCAAATAATATTTAAATAAACTAAACATCTTAAAATACTTGCTAAATTCTTGCAGACTCTTATCAAAGGAATTCAAGAACCATTTGATTTATACACCACAGCTTTGACAATGTAACAGGGGGGGCAGGGGAGAAACTAAACAATTCTTGATTAGTGGCATTTATCTAGCTTTAAATATTGTCTAATAGCTATTGTTTTCCAACCCAGGCAGAAATAAAAAAAACCAAAAAATCAGAAAAATCTCCCAGACCCACAGCAGCAGTAGATTTTTTTTTTTTTAAAGAAATTTCATTTCTTTTAGAAAAGCAGGAGAAGCAAGACCACTTCCAACTGGGAAAGATGCTATAAATTTTGCATATGTTTGAAGTCAAAGGAACCATTCTGAACCTGAGTCTCAGTTCCTACTGTTTTATTTGATTTTTTTCTGATTTTAAGCCAAAAGAATAACTTTCTGATAAGGTTGTACTAATCCAGCCACCCATTCATAACCTTGATGGTTATGAATAACCAGTATTTCCTGGTAACCAATAGTAAGTAGCTTGGTAATGTTGCTCAGATAGGAATACTAACAGTGACTATTGTTATTTCATTGTGATAATACTAAAAGAGATATGAAATACCAACTGTACTGGAAATGAAAATAATAAAAAGCAAAAGGCATGAAGAGGATAAAAGTAAATGCTAAGAACACAAAAGTAACCACACATATTAGACCATAGGTCTATTTCGTCCTGTATCCACTCCTTGCCAATGGCTAAAAGTCTGTTTCTGAGGCACAGGATTAATGAAGTCTTCCAGCCTCCAAGAATTTTCATATTTCTCCCATAAAAGGAGAATTAAACAATTGAAATTCAGCAATGCATTTCTATTATTCACTTCAAATCATGTGATCACAAGTAAATTATTTTTGCAAGAAGTGGTAGATGCAGTCCTTCATGACCTTTTTTCCAAGGATAACTGGCATCTCAGTAGTGAACTGGAATAATTTTCTTACAAAATAATCATAAAAAGTGAAAAATAATGTGATAAGAAAAAAATAATAGTCTATTCGAATAGCATAATGAAAAATAAGAAAGCAAAATGTAAATGTTTAGTGTTTCTTTTCTGCAAAAAGATAAAAAAATCTAGAATAATCAGCACAGACATTTTAAAATAAATGTCTTACCTCAGATGCATAGCCCAAGAAGGAAAAATGACACCTGAAGTAGTCAAGTTCGTAAGCAGCTATGAAGACTAAACAGCGAATGATTTCCAAAATTCCTGCTTTGGACCTAGAAAAGGGAATCAATTCAGATTAACATCCAATCTTTTCCTCTTTGCTAAGTTCAGTGAAAAAGAGAAAATAGAATTAGTTTGTGATGTCCTCCACTTACATCTAGTCATCCTTCTTAAACTTAAAGTTAAGTTTTTATGGTATTTACCTTAAATTGACTTACAACCATGAATTTGCTGTGGTGAGAATACCAGTACTTGCAAAATATATTTGAACTAACACAAATGGAGCTGTATATTTAGTTACTGTCCTTTGATCTCAAAAATTACCACAACAAAATTCTGAGAACTGCTACATAAGTAGTTTAGAATATTTTCAGTGGTCTACTTCCACAAATTTTTACTAATGCCTCTTTATTAACTCCCTAGGTTATTCACATGTCTGGCATGTTGACAGATTTTTACCTATCCTGAATTAAACTGTTCAGTCCTTAAAAGTGAAAGGTATTCCTTTCTGAAAACATAGTGAACAGCAGGTGCAAAGCAATACTGGCACCTCAGTCTCAAAGGAAACTCCTACTCTACATTTCTTCTCTGTCAGGGCAAATAACTTCTTTGCAAGTAAGTGTGGATGCTCCTTACTCTTCTCTAGCACCACAGTGCCCATATGGACTACTTCATAATGTATCTCACTGGCCTGGTGTATTCAAGATCCCATTTCATTTGAAGCTATACTGATTAAGTTTAGTCTCAAGTCTACACCATCTTTCACGTGACTTTGAGCCCACTCTGAGCTACACTGTGTGCTCTTCATATACCATCCATGTATCTGGCACCTATGGCATGCTACACAGGGCTCACACAATCCAACCTTGAACAGCCTCAGGCAGCTGGCAGGTCCCACTCACCTGCCACTGTCCCAAACCCAGAGGAATGGACCCAGGAAATGCAAGCACAGACGAAGACATGAAGAGCCCATCCCAAAACCTTTCTGCAAGGTTTTCTACACAGATGTAGTCACTTCTTGCTATGGGAACAATCCTGGATTTAGGTGCTGGCTAGTCATGTGTTATTTTCTAGTAACAGACAGCCATGTGTGGATCTGGGTGATTATATCTCTTTATCAATATAATTTCTGAGATTCACATATAGTCATAAATAACCCATAATGAAAGAATAAAAAACCCCACATATTTTGTATCTTACTTGTTCTCCATAAGTAGTCCAAAAGATGCCAGGGACAGAATGATAAAGCCAATTCTCACGAGAACTGTTCCCTGTGACAACATCTGTTAAAAGGCAGACAAAAAATTCCTTTAGAGTAATCTAGAGAGAAATGGAGTTTTTATGGAACAGTAGCTTGAACTTACTCAGTGAGTGAAGCAAGTGTCCCCTTTTAAAGTAATTTGCTACTTGAAATTTTAGGGAAAGAAATCTGCTATGGATAGCACTCATACCTGGAGTAACCACATTCACAGTTGATTCCTGACTACTGTATTAATGTTTAATGTTATCTCCTTCTGTCCTATGTGTTTTTTTCCCAAAGTTATTTGATTTCCTTTTGACTCAACTCAAGAGGGAAGAAACTTACTTCTAGATAAAAATTCCAGCAGCCCTGTTCTTTAAATGTCATATTATGTTACCAGGTCTTTACAATAGCCATCTTTGAATCCCACTGGATAAAAATGCCAATGTACTGGTGAGAATAACAACTCACATGACATGGTCATGTTTAAGACGAAACAAAATTAATGTTTTCCCTTCATGACAACTTGACACTTGGTTCCCAGGTCAGAAAAACTTTTTAGCTCATATCATTAACTTCAATCAGACTTAAAACACTTTTAAATATTAACATGTGCATGAGTATTTAGATGAATCACAGCATGAGGACTTCTGCCCTAAAAATTTACATCAAAATGACATAAACGAAATTCATAAACACAGAAATTGTTTTGATTGTAAAGTTTGAATTTTTAAAATTTATTAAATATTTATTTTGTATTCTATACACTGCCTTTGAAAATCAAATATTTAACCAGTTTCATTTTTACCTCCGTGATTTTGTTTCAAATAGTAGTTTTGAAAAGCTTTTGGTTTTGTTTTATTTTATTAAAACAAAACAAAACTATTGGATCTGACTGAGTTATAGAAATCCTTTCTTGCTTCAGCAGCAAAAGAGTTTATGAACAGCATCTTGTGCTTCATTTGCAGGCATTGGAAAAATAAAACTCCACAAATGTCTGCCCTGATTTCCATAAATCCCATTCACTGACATGCCCAACTTCCTTTGGTCGTGGCCCCAACCCCTCAAAGAGATCTAAGGCAAGTATCTGTGAGCATGGGAGGCCACAGGAGGATACTCTCAAGTTTTACAGCTGTGTGAACTTAGAGTGCCCATGTTTGCAAAACGCATCAAACCACACACTCAGTCTGGGCGGGTTTCTGTTGTTTTACTGAAGCATCACAAACACCTACTTAGATATCCTCAACAGTTATTGAACAAAGAAAACTCAATCCCAGCAATGTGCAAGCTAAACAGCAGCCTCACCAGTTTACAAGCCAGAACACAGTTCTCACAAATGACACCTGTCAAGCCACTCTATTGCACGGATTTGTACCAGGTGAGAATCAAACTTATTACTGCATTTCCACATTACCAATCTGCTCCATTCCCCCTTATGATAAACTTTCCATCATTAGCAATAGAAGAAATTTGTTTTGAAGTGACAAAGTATTTGGACAGAGCTTTTTTGTAAAAATCAGGCACGGACTCTATTTGAATATAATTAAATGAGGAGTACTTTAACTGCTCATCTAGCCATACTGAGTTCAACTTCCACTTCATTTTCCTGTATAACCTGGTACATACAAAAATTCAAGAAGTGAGCAAAGAAAAATATGATTTGGCACAGGCATAAGGGAACTCATCCATAAACTTCTTAGAAATGCTTTGACAGGCTTTTCAATTATTGTTATTGTCTATGAAGGGGTTTTCCAGGGAACAAAGACTGAAATTCAAGACTTTTCTCCTTAAAGACTGTCCTCACTTTTAAGCTGAAAAATTACACCTTTTAAAAAATCTCCTCTTTCTTGCCAGGTGGGTCTGATTTTTCTTGGTTTCCATTGTGATGTACCAGGTGCTGCAGACTGCCTGAAAAATGCTCCCACAGTGGTAGAGCACTAGAGAAGCAAGGTTTTGTATCTTAGGCAGGAAAGAGAACTGCAAAATAAACATCAAATCCAGATTTCCACCAAGTCATGGAGTAGCTACATTACAATATATGGCTAAAATCACACTTTGTGGAAAATGAATGAAACTGCAATGGTTTTCATACAAGTGCTAATACCTGTCTTCAGGGAGGATTCAACAGTACATGCTATGAATGAGCAAGGGTGTCCCTAGTTTCCAGTTTTAAAGAGCTGCATGATTTCAAAGTTTTCTGCCTTTCCAGTGATCCCAAGCTGTCTAGCTTGTCCCTGGCATCTGGGTTTCCTTGTGACTCCTGCTGCAGAAAACTGATAGCAGCAGATAAGATAATGCTGATTCATTCTACGTGCCTTTAAGTTCACTGAAGTGCCCTAAAACCTGTTATTAACCTAAGCTTTTGCTGAAACTTGTGGAAAGAGCACACTGGGAATGTGGGAATAAGCTAAGCACTTTGGGAATTCCATTTCTTGCCATTAGCTAGACTGCAAGCCTAAAGACTACATTAAGAGTACTGCATTAACAGTTGGATTTGAGTGGATGATCGAAACACTTCCCAAAAGCAGAGAATTTAGGGTCATATTTTAGTGGTGGTTTTACCCATAACTTCTATCAAGGACTTTTTTCTTAGCTTAAAGATGTATTTTAATTTACATTACTAGAACAGGAAAAAGAATTAAAATTATCCCCCACATATATCTAACACAGAAGAATAAAGCACAGACTAAGAACTTGACAGGAAATTAATAAATTTCAGATCAGTTTGAAACATGGAGTTCCAGAAAAAAAATGGGAATAGAAATACATTTTAATATCTGTTCATAAATCAGAAGAACTGAAGCAACTTTATAACATTTAAAAAAATCAAACTCAAATGTAAACAAGCCTTTATCTTTAAATGGTTAAAATGCTATATGAGGTTCTATGGCATAATAACCACACCAGGTGTGATCATATTTTAAAGACTTTTTTTTTTTTCAGGCCAATTTCCATTTCTCTTCAGACACACTCCTACTTGAACTATACTATTTTGAACACTAGCTATTTTTAAAACTCCTTATGGTGAGTATGCACTCTGGCCCAGAATGTGATGGACTGGAGGACTCTAAAGCATAACCTGCAGATCCTGGTTAATTTCAAATTGGCTATCATCAGATTCACACAAAAGCATGACACTGTAATGCCTGAGCACAATGTGGCACAGTCAAGGATTACCAAGAAATTTTCAGTGAAATACACCATGATGCTATTGGGAATAACATCTTTTAGAAAAGCAGCCATATAGTGTAATTTTTACCACTGTTAGTTTGCTTCACTAACTTTCTCTTACAGTTCCAGTGGCATAGTAATATGCTGCCTTGATTCTTTTATTTGCTTTCAAACATGTATCACCCTATGAAGTGGATGCTGGCAGCTGAGGCATCCATTTTCTAGGCATTACTGTACCAAAATCAACAAAATAGTCAGTGGGTTATATCACTAAACTAACATCATATATTAAATCTATGCACTGCAAGCAGCAGTGCAAAAAGAATGTGCCTTTTACACCTTCATTAGTGTTAGCATCCTTGTTCCACCTAAACATAGTATGCATGGATATATATAAAAAATAAATGAGTATTTATATACTGGAGTATTTGGATAAACAGAGAAGCATGTGGGACCACAGCAGGTTCCCCAATTACAAGTCAGCCACAACTTGCAATGTGGTTATTGGCTGCAATCAAGCAGAAAAAAATATTTCTGTTGGATTTTCATTTCATTCAAGGCTTTAAAAATATCTTTGAACCTTAAAAAAAAATGGGGGGGAAGGAGATTATAGAAAGTAAGAAGTTTACATGGCTTTGTAATCAACAGAATGCCATAGCATTATTATGTTTTTTTAGTAATGAAAAAACTAATTAATTTAAACAAAGGAAATGTTATTTCAAGTATGTATTTAGATAAGCATTGAAATATTCAAAATTGATTTTTTTATACTGCAAAGAACTAGGTTTTTTATTCCTTTGGAAGAATAACATGGATGCATTTTCTCATTCTGATTTGTCCAGTGGTTCAAAAGAACCTCTAGGAATGATGTCAACGCATTTCATAAGTTATCAGTTGCCCTGATCTCATACATCAGATGATCAGATACATTCAAATTAGGAATGCTAATATGATTCTATGAATTTTCTATTGTTAGGTGTCGTTAGCTGTATGAATTTATTTTAACTAAGAATTCCTAGGGGAAAAAAAGTTAATTCTTAGCAATATTACATACACTGTACTTGGTGATGTCCTACTGAATGGATACATTAGTTGTGTTCTTAACTTTAAAGAGAGCTATCTTACTAATTTCCATCTAATTGAAACTGCTCACATATTCATATAATTATAAGCACAGTAAATGTTATAGTATCTATTAACAATAAAAAAAGGACACTGCAAAATGTGTTTAAGGTGCACTTCACTTTGATTTATATGATAACTGAAGTTCTGGAGCTATGAGACTTTTGCTTTGAATGTACTGCAGTTTTATACTCCTAGCACTCTCTCTGGGACTGATCCAAATCCCATTTCTTCAAGGAGCTTTGGATCAGATCTAGATGTGCAGACCTCAGAAAGCAATTTTTATTCGCTGGATGTAATGCAGATCACTATACAGAAAACAAACACTGTATGCTCTCTCCTGTGGAAAATATATATTTGTTCTTTCCTGTTTTGCTCTTTTCATAAGTTAAATGTAGGTCATTCAGACAGAAGGTATATGGTTGCTCTTTATGGATAGAGAAATTTAACACTTCTACAGGGCGTGAGACCAAACACTGAGCAACTGTAATCACTTGAGAAATGTAATAGCTGTGTGCTGTGTCTTATGGCTGTTATGAAATGGAACTTATACCTAAAGATGAGGAAAACAGTTAGTTTTCTCCATTTATGGAGCTATGCCACAGTTATGACATAATTCATAGCCAGACAGAACGTTCCAGTTGTATCCATAGACATTTCATAACTCAGTGTAGTGGAAAACTGATATTGAAGAAAGGTTTTTTGCCAAGTAAAGTTATTCATACACAAGCTTCCTTCTCATGACAGCTTCTCCACTGTACTGCAGAGCAATGCTGGAACTCTGCCTTGGGACCAGCACTTTCTACACCCACGCTGAAGGTTTATGTCCTGAGATGAGGTGCTTCCAGGCCCCTGTGCTCCCCTTATCCTTACTACCTTATTACCCTGCAGTTTTGTGCAGAGAATTTTCTAGTTGCTTTTCTACAGTAAGTTCATAAATGGAGGATCTTCAGGACGTTTCCTCCATGATGGAAAGAATTTAGTGATTATCTGGGGCTTGGGTGCATTTTTCAACTTTCTTTATAACTTATTCTTAAACAACTGCAGTTACTAGCAGAAAAAATAATGTGGACCATCCATTTTTCCTTCCAGGACCAGAAAAAGGCCAAAAGAAAAAACAATAAAATAGAAAAAAAAAAATCAGACTCCTTAATTCTGGCTGCTAAAAGCAACAGCATAGAGTAAAAAAAAAAAAAAAAAAAAACCACAAAAAAAAACTTATCTGTGTGCAAAATGAAACAAATGGAAAAAACTCAAACACAGAGTTTGATTCCTATGCAAATATAGGAATTTGGAAGTATTCTGGAAAATCTTGCAGAGGTTTTTCTCAATGCAGGAACATTAGCAATCAGGTATACTGTGTGACTTGTGTATTTTGGAAGTATTTATTCATACCTTTGGCTTAATTTCCTGTCCTTATAATAGACTAAGCCTAGGATGATTTAGTAATCTCCTAATTCCCTGCAATTGCAGTGTGACCCTTTGCAGAAGTAAACATGGCACATAGAATAACTCCATACTAATCCAAAGAATATGCCTGAAGTAACTTTTATATTATACCAGGAATGCTACATCCTGCAGTGTCCAATGAGATGGGCAGGGGGCAGTGGCCACTGCTGGCCAAGGGCTGGAGATTGCCAGGTGAGCATGCCAGGACAAGGCTGAAGAACCCAGGGGGCCCTTTGGGTGTTTACAGCCTGCCTGTGGCAGTGTGGGTGACACAAACACAGCAAGAGCACTGCTCTTTAACTAAGGGGGTCTTAGAAAGGGTTTAAGAAGAAGACCAAAGGGAATTTTATCAAATTAATAGAGTTTTGTGGTGTTTCTATACATCTTGAGAGGTCTTTGACTTATTTGTAGGAATATTAGATCCATTAAATCCTGCTTCGTAACTCTGAAATTTTAGCTTTAGCAAATGAGGGAGAAAGACAGAAAGAAAAAAGGGAGCTTGGAAGGATGTGAAACCCTGTAGGTAGTTAATGTCTCATTTATTTTAGATGGACATGGCCTTGTAGTTCACCTTCACAGGCTGCCAGCTATCCATAGAGGAACCAGTCACCATGGAGATGCCACCAGGCAAGTCTGTGGTGATAAATACATGCCTCTACTGGCTGTGCTTCTATCAATGCTCTTGTATGTTGGAGATTGGAAGAAAAATTTGCCCTGACTTTGTGCTCCTCCAACTCTGAACTCATGCTGACACCAACCTTGCAAGCACTGCAAGGCCATTGCAATCTTCCCTCTAAAGCCTGGGCATCTAATGGTATGACCAATCTTAACATCTTAAAACTGGATAGTTTCAAGCCTTATGAGGTACTAAAAACTGAAGCAGACACATACTTCTTCTAGGCTAAATATTTCTATTAAGTACATAACTGATATGGTTATTAAAAACTGTTTACTAAACAATATCAAATGTATATTTAATAGCATGAATTATATATTTAGCCATTTAGGGGAATTCTTTTACAGAAACTAGTTATTATTTTAGTAGTTCAAGTAAGATATGAGTTGGCTGTAGAGCTGCTGCCCAATCCTTTAATATTTAAGCATGTTGTGTGTCATTGATGTTAGCAGGAGATTTTATTTCTCAAGGGAAGGAATTACTTACAGTCATAGAAGCAAGAAGTTCGATGTACAAGTCCAGTATTACAGCAAAATGTACAAGTGCATAGCAATTAAGATAAGCTGGTACATGTGGGTTGAAGGGAACTTCTTTTCCAGTGATCTGTATAAAGCAAAACAGTTACTTGCTTTCAAGAGTGACCTGCTCTGGCCTGTTGCTCCTTAATATTCTTTATACTTAAAACACAAAAGGGGTGAGAGCTAATTGAAGAAAGATAATCTATAGTCAAACTTATGTACTATCTAGTTTGAGACAGTTTAACTTTGTGTGTTTGTGCATGCCTGCAGCTGAAAAAAAGGGAGAAATTACTGTACTCCATAGAAAAAATTTTGAAAATCTCTTCAGGAAATGAATAATGAAAAAATAACTTAAAAAACACACTTTTTCCATCAAATAAAAAGAAAAAAAGCCCCACAGTTAAAACATTCATTTCCTTCAGTTTCTTTTCCCAATTCATCTTCCCCCATGCTTTATGACTGCTAATTTGCTAATTTAAAATAGCATGTGTAGAGTTTTTAACATCGATCCAGTAGCATTAAGAGGCCCAAGTAAATTACACACAACTGAAAGCCTGTGCATGTTCTATTTACCACTGGGATTTCCTCAGGAAGGCCAAGTCTAGGTTTGCCTGGTCCCCAGCCTGGCCCTTTGAATATGACAGAAAGCTTATTGCAGAATCCAGGTGTGGCCCAAAACGTGTTCCAAATATGAGCCAAGGGACGTAACTGAAAAAAAAGGTAAGCAATTTTTTATTGTTCACAAAATAAAGATTAATAAAACATTGTATTTTATTAATTTTTATTTTTCAAATAAATGATTTTTCAAACTCTGTAAAGAGAATAAATTAGAAAGAGATGAAAACAGTTCAGAAAACCTGGCTGAAATAGGCAAAAGCAATGAAGCCCTTGGTTAATTTGGTGAGGATTACAATGACTTCTGCTCAGAGGAAAATCTGTTTTTCCATCTGTGTCTCCTGTAATCACTCCTGAGTATTTAGTGGCATATTGTATAGCTATATTTATGCAGTATGATTTGGTTACTGGGACCTTGAAATGACATATTCTCAGTAATGAAATTACTTAGTATCTGACTGAAATGGATATAATTGCACATCCTCCCACTTTCCAGCCCTGACAGCCCTGACAGTAAAATTTCTCTTTCTTTGAGATTCTTCCTTGGATGAACAATCATGAAAAGCAAATATGAACTCCACTGCTTCTCATGTTTTTGCAGAGAATTTTTACCTAGCTTAAGTGAAACCTGAACTAATAAATCTAAGAAGCACCACACTAATTAGTTTTCTTTTTTTTATTATATGCTTTTGTCTGTGCTTCACTATTTATTATTGCACTGCAAAACACCTCATTCAGTCCAACACCTTATATATATATCACTGTTCTAATTATTTGTTAATTTTACTGTTACATATTTTCATTATTACTAAAAGCTCTGCGTACACTCAATGCAGTGAATAGAAATGGCTGTCTCATAATGAAGTACTGAAGAAATTGTAGATAATGTAATCGACTGGTCAGCAATGGAAGGATGGCCTCAACTGTGCCTAAGAGAGGAGTTTCTTTTGAATATGACTGAATGTTGAAGATATCAAAATCAGTGATAAAAACTATAGCACCTGGAGCATGATGGGGTCAAATGAATTTACTGGATGTGTTAAGCCATATACAACTTTTGCATCTTCGGCCTCAAATGTTCCTGATGGAAGAAGAAAACAAAAGAATGACAAACAATCAAATTCAAAAGTATACATATTTTTTCCACACTAATTCAACATGATGGAGAACACCTTCTTTTACTTACCAAATATCCTGTCCCAGATAATGAGTGTGCCACCATAATTTTTGTCAATGCAGTAAGGATTTCTACCTATAATAAAAATCAATTATGAGACAAGTAATAGGATAAATAAGAATACTAGGAACTGAATTATGAAGGAAAAAAATCATCATTTGCATCACATTATAATCTAAAAATAACTTTAACAAAGACAGCTAACCCACCACTCCTCATGCTTCTATATAGATTTCTTTTTTCCTTAATAGCCTTATTGCTCTCTTTCTGTTCAGATTCAAACATACAAATCAAATGCATCATGTCCAAAATTTCTCTGAAATTTGGAGACGAAACCAGGTCAAAATATATTTATAAAAGACAAGCTTAAAACCAAACAAAAATGATTCCATCAGTTTCCACCTAAGAAAATATAAACTAAATACATATATGTGTAGTTATCTCATTAATATCTGTCTATCATATGTCTGATCCTGCACTATTAATTTCAGTGTGAGGAAAACTGAAAAAATCCTTCTATGTTTTCTAGGGAATATATTTGTATATAAGCAGTCCTCTCAAAGTTATGAGTGAAGAAGCATTGGTTACACATCCCTAAGTTTGTGGAGATAGTCTGGAGCAACTGTACAGCCCCTGATCAGCTCCATAATGATTTAGCTTGACTCCAATCAGGATGAGAGCATTAGTTCAGATTTACAGCTGAGAAAATAAGAGCAGAGTGTCTCCCTGAGGATTACCAGTAGTTAGGCAAATTTTAAGGACTAGACACTTACAGCACCACCACTGTGGATACAGTGATTGTGAGGATACAATAAACATTAGTAACATCCTCTGCACGTGCAACTCCATTTGAGTCTGTTTCAAACTGTTCTTCCATTCCCTCATTTTTTTTTTAAACTCACTATCTCTGAACACTGAATGAGCAAAGGACATCTGTGAAATCCACTTCTGTGTCTCAGATACATTCATGACATTTGTCAGTATGCAGTGGAGTTATTAGTACAATTTACACATGCAGTAAAGTCTTGAGGGCCGCTGAATACTGATAAAAATCAACCATTATGCACTTTTGGGAAGTGAGATTTACCAACAATTCAAACAGGTGAAATCAAATTCCACTAAAATATTTAAAGTTCTTCGAAAACCTAGCCATATTTTTCACATATACAGTGCTTGAATTTGAGTGGAAAAGAGCCTCTGTTGATGATTCAGTAGCCAGGAAAGGATGAAGCATTTTTCTATCACTCTTCATACTTAAAAACATTGAATTTTTTTTCTCAAAGTCTTCTAACTATTTCATGTTATCCAGACTTAATTTCTCCTCAATAATTAATCTTAAACAAAAAAATGTTTAAATTAAGTTCTGATTATATTTTTTTTTTAAACTGTGGAATTTCTAACTGAACAGGGACCACTTCTGAAGTTGAGGTCAAAATTAAAATCTTTTTGTAAAACTGATTTTACAGTACAATTTTACTAGATTACTATTACAGTACAAATAGTGACCCTGAGGAAAAAAAGGAATAAGAGGTTTCACTTTTATCTTACCATGATGAACTCTGTGATGACTGGGAGTATTAAGTATCCATTCCAGAGGCCCAAGTTTGGTGATAAGCTTAAAAAATATAATGGTTTAATGAACTTGAAAATACTGTATAAGACCAAGAAGAATTAGGGAAATGAAAAGAACGAAAAGCTAAAGAGAGGATGTTTATTTTCTGGAGAGCTGCATAGAAAGACAGAAGTGCAATATCTTTTTCTGAACCATATCACTGCATTACAATTACAAATATTTTCATTAAAAAACATTAAAATACAAGTTATAAATTAAATTTCTTTTGATCCAGAAGCTAATTTCTTTAGATCTAAAAGTGAATTGTTTTTATCTTTATTCCATGAGAATCTTTGAGAAAATTGGCAATCATGAACTGATAACAAGATGGAATCACAGGGAAGTGATTGTCCCAGTGTACTAAGCACTGGTTAGGCTGCACCTTGAGTACTGCGTTCAGTTTTGGGCCTCTCACTTCCAGAAAGGAATTGAGGTGCTGGAGCATGTCCAGAGAAGGGCAAGGGAGCTACTGAAGGGTCTAGAAAACATGTCATGTGAGGAGCGACTGAGGGAACTGGGATTGTTTAGCCTGGAGAAAAGGAGGCTTGGAAGGACCTCACTGCTCTCTACCTCCCTGATAGGAGGTTGTAGTGAGGTGTGGGTCAGTTTCTTCTGCCGTGTCCCAAATGAAAGCAGAAGAGGAAATGGCTTTGAATTGTGCCAGAGGGGGTTCACATTGGATATTAGAAAAAAAAAAAAAAATCACTGGAAGAGTGTTTAGGCATTGGAATAAATTGCTCAGGGAGGTGGTGGAGACAGTATCTCTGGAAAAGATCCAGAGGCATCTGGATGTGTCACCTGGGGGATATGGCTTGGGGGTCATTCTGGTGATGGTGGGTTGATGGTTGGACTCTCTGGTCTTGAAGGTCACTTACAACCTTGATGATTCTGTGATTCTATACAAATTGTTTCACTCATTTTTCTTATCCCTATCCAGTGACATGCTTGGGATTTGGTGCAACTCTATGATAGCAGTATTGAAAACACTTTATATCTGCAAATAGGTGCCATTGACCCAGAAACAAATACTCCTTCACCCTTCAGTACATTTGACTGCTGGTTTCTTCTCAGTAAACTTCTTGTACTCTGGCACAAACGCATTGACACAACAAACCTGACTGGGGAACTGATGCAAACCAAAGCTGCTTTTGTTTTGTTTTTCTAAGTCAGTTTAACTAGATCAGTTACTGATTTTGGTCCAATATATGGTCATTGCCATGAGTTGGAGGCATGAAGAGACAGTAGATCAGCATAAATTCATCATGGAGCTACAACCTAAGGAGATGACTTGACAGTACAGAAAGATAGCCTTGATCATTTTAGTACCAACCCAAAAATTATAGAAAGTATCCATTGCCAAAAGCCACCTCTAGTGTTTCAAGCTTTGTCAGAAAATGCTGAAGAATTAAGTTTGTGTGGGCAGGCTATCTGCTAAATTAGGTACTCTCAGCTACTATGGAATTAGAGGAAAGCCAGCACTGACTTCAAATTTGTTGCTTTGGTTAGCTCAACAGAAGTGTGTGGACAAACAAACAACATTTTCTTTGAACACAGCAACTATTCTTTAATCCCAAGGACAAATCCATCTGTCAAAAATTGATGCAATCACTGGATGACCAAAAAGGACATCTATTCACAATATATTCTGAAATGGTATCTATTCACCATGTCTGATTACGGCCATAATATTTTGCAATTAAAAGGGAGCAGGGGGCATTAAAGCAGCTAAATAAAAATGCTTAGACCTTAAGAAACAAATCCAAGAATCTATAATTCTTTTCCTTTTAGAGAATTTAATTAGTGAATTTAATACTCATACTGCCAAAAGGGGTGATCTGTTATATAATAATAGACCTAAGATAATAATGGCAAAAAAAAAACCAAACAACCAAATTTAGAGGGACAGTCATTACTCATGAGAGCAGGTCCATTAATCAAAAAAAGATTTTCATTCCTTTAAGGTTTACAGAACAAAGCCCTTAAATACAGCACTTCCATGTCTCCTTCATTTACAGTTCAGCAAGTGCAAGTAGATTTAGATTCAAAAAGCAGACTGAGGATATTCCTCAGATGCATTTAAATTGTTATGAATCAGGTAAAGATAATAAAAGGGAAAAGTAACATTTTTTCATTTTTTCTCCTCAATAACTGCAAAAATAACATCTACTTAATTGGTTAAGTAGAGAATTTCTGTAATTAATGGAGTATAGAAATATGAAAATTCTTCACATACATAGAACTGCAATATTTGGACCATCTTTCTTAAAATCCTGCTCACACTTGACTGGAAAAACAGTATCCTGAGATAAGTTTGTTTTGTTTCATTTAACTAAGAAGCCAAGGACAACATAAGCAGGATCAGCTCTCCCTCAAAATAAGTCCAAGTCTGAAAAGACCACCTAAAGTTAAGAAACAATCCATCATTCCTGCTAGTTCCATTTTCTGCCTTTCTCAAGCAGAACATCCCACTGTTTTAAGATATGTGAGATGTGACCATTAAATTAATTTAATCTGAGACAAATGTTTTGAATTGAACAGCAGCCCAGCACCTGAGAGAGCACTGATTTATCTTATAGACCACAACTAACTTTGATCCAGTTGGTTTTAATATAATTTTAGCTCAATATTTTAACAGTTTTTGTAAAAATAAACCAAGTGTGCACTAGGAGAGCAGGGAATCAGTAAGGATTAGTAGTCTTCACCTTTATCCTACAGGTGGATTATAACAAAATGTCCTCAGAATGAATGCCTTCAGGTCTCAATATCCAGCCAGCTGAATTAAAATTTTAAAACTAAAATTCATCCTTTTGAAAGTCTACATAGTACATCCTTATGCTAAAGCAGAACTTTTTGCCTTGGGCCTCTCTAAGGACCTCAGGGTATAACTTTATATAAATTTATATGCGGAACTTTAAATAAATTTTTCTGACTAATAATAGTGAAAGTATTTTCTTTGGATAATGAAACCGCTCTCAGCCCTTAAAACAGTCTTTCTTTGAGTGATGAAATTTAAAAATTTACTGAAATATCTTCTCCATGTCATAATTAGTGATTGATACCCAAGCCTATTTTGATTAATTATTCACGCAAGGTCACCTCCATTGCAAAGACATTTTAGCCCCACTCTGAGGAAAATATCATCTGAGACAACAATCATAACCACATGACTTTAAAGCTCAGAGGGGGTGCAAAACTCTCTACCTGATGAAGCAAAAATCTAGTATGTTGACATTAGCAATCCATAAATCAATGGTTTGTCTAAAACACATCAAAAATATTTTTTCACCAGATAGTCAAAATAGTGCAGGGTGCTATTTCTAGAAACTTCCTTTGCCATCAGTAAGTTTACTTGTAGATATTTAGCTCATTTCTAAAAAAACATAAAAAACTGTTGTCAGAGGAAAAACTTTGGTGCCAAAAAAATTATAAATGCATAAATGCTATAAATATAAGCATATATCTTTCCACCATACAGAAATATATCACCACTGAAAAAGTCAATTTTGAAAGCTCTTGCAGCACTTACATGTCAAACAACATAGCTCTTTTGTTTAAATTTGTTGAATTTTTCTTTAGTCTGCCATCTTACCTGGGGCAAAACTCCTAGAAGCAGATTTTTCACCTAAGTAAATTGGATAGGATAGCAAGACAATTTTTACCAGACATGATTCTGACATGGTCATGTCAAGCTGACAGGAACTTACTGCAGTGATATTGAAAGAAATTAATTTTGTAAGAACTGACTCATAGCAACAACATTTAATGTGGTGTAGCAACAGCCCTAGTTCAAAAGAATAATCCAGAGAGAAGAAAGGCAGTGGCAGGTATCCTGCTTACCCATCTACCTTTCATCTGTCAGTCTGTCCTCATTTCTGTGTATTTATTATGTCCAGACATTTTCCTTGGAGAATGGCAAGTTTAAAGGAGCTCATAAGCATTCTTTGTAGAAACAACCTGGCTTCCACTGCAAGCACAACCAGTCACCAAAGCACACAGATCACTAAGTTTCAGCCATTCAGAGAGAAAAAAAAAATTCAGCCTGCAATATCACTGTATTCAAATCAGTTTCTTAGAGTAAAAGCTTTCATGATCACATATCAGAAAAAAAATTAAACTTTTTAAAGAACACCAAACAAATGTGATAAGAAGACCGGCTTAGTTTTTATGCTCATAATTGGGATTTTCATTTTTAAAAATCTGCTACTCTAATTTTTGTATCTGATTTTTTTATTGGAAAGTACTCTAAAAAGTAAAAAAAAATAGCTGAAATGTCATTTTTCCATAACCCTGCCATCAGTACTTCAAAACTTATTTCATATTACTCAAAAGAAAAAAAGATCTGTTTGTGGATATAAAATATTCTTATTCTATGTATCATCAACTAAAGTGATTTGGGGAATACAGCAAAATAGCTACCAATACCCTAAAAGTTGAAATACTCCAACCGTTGTCCAATGATAACCTTATCTGTATTTTGACCATTATGACACTGGGGGTTTACATTTGTGTTTGTTTCCCTGATACAGACACCTACTGCTCTAAATCAACTCCTGTCTGCAATTTTTCCTTTCTCAATTAACACATCATGTGCACCTAAACTCCCATGCCAGTGACCCATAGATGAACTGCAACATTCCAACAAAACTCTTTTCCTGTTTCCTTCATTTTTTAACATCCCATTGCCACAAAAATAATTTTTCATTTGTCAAAATCTTTAGAAATGGACTCAATAAACTACCTGCAAATCAAATATGTAGGCATGTCATATATGTATGTTATAAAAGTTGTTCCCACAAAACATGTATTCTTATTTCTTTTCTTTAAAAACCAATGTATTTCCTCTGCTATACTTGGGTATCACTAAACAGTAAAGCAGAATTACTGCCAACAATTGAAGCAACTCCAAAAGCATTGTAATAAATAGGCATGCTTAGAAATACTTTTCATTCATTACTGAATAAAATATCCTGGAATTGAAATCTTCAAATATAGATGATAGAAAC